GACTACGCCACCGCCATGGTCTCTGACCCTGCCTGCCCTCCGTCCGTCAGGGGCGTGGCTGCCCTTGGCAGTGACGACCAAGAGGACAGACAATATGAGCTTGCTTTCCTGTCAGAGGCTGCTCCCCATCTCTGTTCCATGCTGCTAGTCCTTGAGGGTGACTCAGATGCCCTTGACATCCCGACCCCTCGCACCTACGCTGAGGCCACCTCGGGATCCTGGGCCTCTCAGTGGATAGCTGTCATGGTGCAGGAGATGGCATCTTGGAGATCCACCGGTACCTTTGTCTGCGCAGTTCCCCCACCTGGGGTTAACGTATAGTTGATGGCCGATGGCCCTTCAAGGTGAAGTGCCCTCCTGGAGAACCGCCTGTCTTCAAGGCGCGCTATGTTGCTCGTGGCTTTAGTAAGCGTGAGGGGGTTGACTTCTTTCAGACCTTCGTCCCGACCCCGAAGATGACTACTCTTCGAGCAATGCTACACGTAGCAGCACAGCGTGAATACGAGTTGCACTAACTTGACTTCTCCATTGCTTTCCTCCAGGGCAGTCTACACGAGCAGGTCTATCTGCGCCGCCCCCAAGGCTTCTCCAGTACCTTTCCTCCTGGTATCGAGTGGCTCCTCCAGCGCCGTGTCTACGGCCTGCGCCAAGCGCCCCGTGAGTGGCACGACACGCTGCGTGCTACACATGCTGATATGCAGTTCTTCCCGTCGTCTGCGGATCCCTTCGTTCTTCGTCCGTTCCGGCCAGGCTCTGTTCTACATCCTTGTTTCCGTAGACGATCTGGTCTTTGCTACTGCAGACAGAGACGTGCTGGCCTCTATGAAGGCCGAGCTGCTGAGGAGACACACCTGCACTGACCTAGGGGAGCTGCGCCGCTACCTTGGCTTGTAGATCACCAGGAACAGAGTAGCGTGCACCATCACTCTCACACAGTCAAACTTGGTGTGCCAGGTCCTTCAGAGGTTCGGCCTTCAGTTCTCTTCCGCTTAGCCCACCCCTCTGCCAGTAGACCATATACTCTCTTCTCCAGTTCCGGAGGAGGCTGTAGAGCCTAGTGGTCCTTACGCAGAGCTGGTGGGTTGCCTCATGTACCTGATGACTTGCACTTGTCCAGATCTCGCATACCCTCTCAGCATCCTGGCCCACGTTGTGGCCTCCGGCAGACACCGACCACAGCTCTGGTCTGCAGCTAAGAGGGTTTTGTGTTATCTAGCAAGTACTGCAGGCATGGGGCTAGTGCTAGGAGGACGCAGACCAGTGGTCCTTACAGACGCTTCTTGGACAGACGACGCCGAGACTCTCAGGTCCTCCCAAGGCTACTGCTTTGGCCTTGGTGCAGGCGCTGTCTCGTGGAGGTCCACCCGCTCGTCGTCTGTTGCCCAGTCTAGCTGTGAGGCTGAGATATAGGCCGGTGCCATGGCGGTGCAGGAGCTCCGTTGGCTGACTTTCTTGCCTACAGATGTAGGTGAGCAGCCTAGCTAACAACAGGGCCATGATCCTCCTGTGCCATGAGCCCAGACTAGAGGGCAAGGCGAAGCACATCCAGCTGCAGTACTTCCTCTTGCGCGAGCTACAGCAGCGTCGCCAGGCCCGCGTAGTACACTTGGCCTCCGGTGCCAACATAGCTGATATATTTACGAAGGCGCTTGCGCTTAAAGATGATCAGCGGCACTGCGTACAGCTTGGACTCAATCCTATAGCACCTCATTTGCTAGGACATTGATGGTGTATGACTCTTTATATGTTATCCTGACTGGCCTTATGGCTTTCTCCCAGTGGCTGGACTAGTAATGCGGCCCTGGTCTTGTTCTTGCCTTGTTTGTACTCTTTTGAGTGGTCTTTATACCCCTGCCTCAGAGGTTGGACTAGTAGTGCCGCCCTGAGCTGTGTGCTTCTTGCTCAGCACTACCCTTTATGCATACAGTTGCATGTATAAGTTATAGGATAGAATAGGTGTGTGTTCTTAGATAGTACAACCCACTAGCTATATACCCCTTTATACTCTCATTCTATTCAACACTTCTAACTCTGAGACTTTATGTGTCCCAGCAGGGCCCAGTTTCCTTACGAAAACTCTCGCGAAATAAACAAAGTTGCAAGCTTCTGCACCCAATCATTTCATTTGTTTTTGTTGAAAGTACATCAAAAGACTTAAGCGTTTCTGAAGTGTAACACTACACTCGAGGAAGATTGCAAGGGGTACGCGAGTCAACGGAGGTTACACGAGGGGGCGGACAAAGAACACGAAGGGTTTGGGACTCAAAGGGTCGCAATTGGAGGTTGCGACTGACCGTTACAACAGCACGGATGGTAACCGAAGCGACAATCGAGTCGCTGTACGACTCGATAAACCGCTACTGCAACTGTACTCTACAACTGTTTCTTATCTTCTATATATTGCTGTATGTTTGCCTTTTTATTATCACTTGTTCTCACATACTAGTACAAGGGTTCAACTGCCTCAACTTCCGCTGCACTACCCCAAGTCTTTACAGTTGGGACTTAGTCTCTGGAAAGATCCCAAGGGCTTTTCTCAGCCCAACAGTTTTCGCCACCTGCCAAGCTCACCTCGCGTTGACTTTGAGTAAGTAATTTGGGACATGGGCTTTAAACAAATAAACACTCAAATAGCACATGGTTATGCATATTTCCCTCCACACCATACGAAAAGCAAAATTTCTGCATAGTTCATAGTATTTTGAGGCGAAGTTGGTTCATTCAACACCGAACATGATTTTCCACACTCTACAGCCCATCAAACACTTGTGTATGCATCTGGTTATTTTCATTTTGTTTTGAATAGAAAACGGAATGGGAGTTACATTGAAGAATGCCTTCATTTTGCTTCGCGTTTGCGACAGTTTTTCGAGCGAGAGCCGCTACCGTCGCCAGAATCGCTGAGCACGAACAATTCACCAGTTTGAAGGTCAGCACACCGCAGTGACCTAGTAACAAGGCTCGTTGAGCATGTGGCAGGGAATGACTTTGGGGTGGATCACAACTTTAGGCATTTCGAGTGGTTCTCTGACGTGGCAATGCCTAATTGCTCCTCCAGATAGCCTACGCTCCCTTCCTGATAGCGATGTTGTGCGCAAGTTCTTTACCTGCCCGGGTGGAAAGTTCCGTCACGTAGCTGTCGTTTTGGCCAATAGGCAATCTCCGAAGTAGATTGATGGAGCGAAACGGGCAGAAGAGGGAAAACATCGGGAAAATCGTTCTGGGGGGGTCATATTGTCCCAAGCTCTCAGAATTCGGTAAGCTCCGAGCATCCCTGTGAACGCATCTGCCCACCTGCTCCTTGCTTCACCCTTCGTTTTCACCCAAACTCAAACCGTAGCCATGGCTGCCACCGCCGCTCTCTCCAGCACCTTCTCCGGCGTCGCTCTTCCTACCCTCCCCGCCAGGAAGACCGTCTCCGTGTCCCGGAGCCTGAAGGTGTCCGCCAGCGGCGGCAAGAAGATCAAGACCAACACCCCCCTGGGTTAGTAGTTGTCTTCCATCAGTTCCTGGTAGCCTTGACAGCTGCGGGATTTTGGAATGTTAAGAACGTTTCCGACAAGCTCTCCGCGTATTTCCTGACAGTCGCTCCGTCGTCCATGCCCGGGCAACCGCGTCCTGATAATCGCACTGGTAATTCATGCATGCAGGCCCCAGCGGTGACTACAAGTTCAAGGTGGACCCCTCCGGCTCCCCCTCCAAGGGCAAGGGTGCCTACTCCTTCGCCAAGAAGTACGGCGCTAACGTCGACGGCTACAGCCCCATCTGGACCCCGTCGGAGTGGTCCGCCAAGGGTGACACCTACGAGGGTGGTAAGTAATTTACGTGCCGTGTGCTTGCTTTACTTTTGCTGCCCTCAGGCTTTTCTTCCCTTGTTCCGCTGTCTAACATCTGGAGTGTTGACGTTGCAGGCAAGGCCGGTCTTCTCCTGTGGTTCCTCACCTTCGGCGGCCTTCTCGCCATCGGTGCTCTCCTCATCGTCAACACGAGCGCCATTGCCTAAATATTTTGCGTAACTTCTGTGTATAGGCAAGGTACTTGTAAACGGGATGCATTCACGATTTTCTTTAAACTAAAAAAAAACATTAACCCTTTGAACCAGGCTGGTATGCGTGAACCAATTAACAACCCGCGTGCCTAGTAAAATTGACCTGTAACCAGCCCTTTCGCAAAATTTTAGTACTGCCTGTCGCTAGTTAAGGGCGTGTCAAATATGTACGTGCACTTTGAGGATCGTAACCCCTGATAAAGTGCCAAAAATGCCACGCTCGACCCTCAGCCGTAGTCAGGGAACACACGCGGACATTTCAAAGTCCTGCGAACAGAAAAACCCCGAAACTCCAGCAGGTGGTCCACATCCAGGGCTAGAGCAAGCGAAATAATGTCGACGGAAAAATCAATGTCACGAAACTTCGCATGTCGCCAAGCAAATGCTCCCCCAAGGGTGGAAAGCCTACTGGACACGGCTTCGCTAGGTGGTACTCCGTTACCCGCCATCCTGCCCTCCCCAAGTGCCCCCTTATTGTGGGACCCGTTTCTAGACCAGGTACGTTTGCGAAATCAATTCGCATTTCGCGACGTTCGACGTCTCGCCATGTCCAAAACGGCAAAACGATTTTTGGGGACACGCCCTAAGGCAATGGCTGACAGATGACTTCCTCCGCGCCTTTCGCTCAGACCAATGGCACACCACCCCAGCAAGGCACTGGATCCCCTGCGCAGCTAGCTATCTGGGGTTACCAACATGATTTCGAAATTCGCAAGCTATGGACTGGTCCGCAGCTGCAGTTCCTCCTTCGCTTCCCGTCCCCTGCACACTCCCCTCCCCTCTCTCTTTGCAGCCCCTCGGACCCGAGCCACATCTCTGACCATCCCCGTAGCTGCATCGCGATGCGACCTGATCTTCCAAATACGGCGCGCCACATTTGGGAGTGGGTTGCTTATAAACCCAGCCAACCGCTCTAGGCCCAACATCGGCTCACAACAAACCAGCATCGGCAATTCCAAACACACTTGCATCCACTTCAGACAATCCACGTAGCCATTGTCTGGGCCTTTTGTTAGGACAACTACTGCAAACAACTGCTAAGAGAAGGTACCGCGATTAATACCCAGACGTGATTAGTTGAGTCCCACCATGAGAAACGGCGGCCCCACAATCGCGTTGCTGCTGATCTTCGGCGCGTTTCTGCTAGCAGCGCAGCCATCCAGAGGCGCACCACGCCAGTGGTGGCGTAACGGTGCCGAGTCCCAGCCTTTTGCGGCGCCCGCCAGAGGCAACGCGGGCAAATTCCAGGCGCCAGACACCGCCGGTTCTGCCGTGTACATCGTGCGCCTGAGCACGGCGCCCCCCCTCTCCGAATACCGCGGCGGAATTGCGGGGTACCCCGCCACTGCCACGTGGGACGACGGCAGCGACGAGGAGGAGAACGACGACGACCGCGTGCCGGAGATGCTTCTCGCGGCCGAAGATTCCGGCGCAGCAGGCGGCGAATCCGAGTCAGAGCCCGAGTCCGTCGACTTGGACGACACCAACGCCGATCAGCACTTCCCCAACGCAACTGCGCCAGCGCCAGCAGATGCGGCGCCTGAAACCAGTTCGACTTCCAGCGCACGCGGTGGTCGTGGGAATGGTGGTGGTAGCAGCAGCGGCAGCGGCGGGTGCGCGCGGCACAGGCTGCATCTGAGCATGGACCGCCCCCAGGTGGCAGCGTTCGCGTCGCTGCTGCAGCGGCAGCAGGCGCAGGTGGCATCTGAGGCGGGCGTGGGCGACGGCGACCTGCTGTACAGCTTCAAGCACACGTCCAACGGCTTCGCCGCGCGCCTCACCCCGCGCCAGGCGTGGCGCCTGCAGCGCCATCCCGCCGTGGCGTCCGTGCGCCGCAGCCGCGTGTTCCAGCGGCGGACCAGCGACTCGCCCAAGTTCCTGGGGCTCCCCGGAAAGGTGTGGCCCGCCGTGGGCGGATAGAGCAAGGCGGGCGACGGCACGGTGGTGGGATCATCGACACGGGCATCTGGCCCGAACACCCCTCGTTCTCCGACAAGGGGTTTAGTTCGAACTTCCCCTCTGGGTGGAAGGGTAAATGCGAGCAGTCCAACTCGTTCCGATGCAACAACAAGGTGATCGGCGCCAAGGCGTTCTACACCGGGTTTCAGCGGGCCAGCGGCAAGCCCGCGCTGGCGAACGACTGGCTCACGCCACGAGACGCGGACGGGCATGGCACGTGGTGCGCGGGCGCGGCGGCGGGGAGCCCGGTGGGGCTGCAGGGCGGCGGGCAGGTGAGCGGCATGGCGCCGGCTGCGCGGATCGCGGCGTACAAGGTGTTCTGGACGGACCGCAGCAGCGGGGAAATGTATGCGGACGAGTCAGACATCATCGCAGCCGTCAATCAGGGCGTGGCGGACGGCGTGGATGTGCTGTCGCTGTCCCTGGGGGGCATGGATCCCAACGACAACTATTTCAACGACCTGGCTTTTATGCGGGCCAACGCTGCCGGGGTGTTCATTGCCTTTGCTGCTGGTAATGCTGGCGCTCCGGGCCAGTCACAGGGGGGTGGTTACCGCACGGTGGACAACTTCGCACCCTTCTTTCTGACTGTGGGCGCCAGCACCATCGCACGGGGAGCGTCCCTAGCTTCGGCAGCAGCAGCAGCCGGCACTCAGTCGCTCCCCCTCAATGCCATTGCCGGCGCCGCCAGCACCAACAGCACTGTCAACTGCAACGGCACTGGCAGCGGCAACAGCACAGGCAACGGCACCATGCCAGGTGATGGCAGCGGCACCACTTTCACTGCCGACGGAGGTATCACCTTCGCCACCTCCTCCTCCTCCGCCCCGGTGGTTGCTGACTTCTCGTCCCGCGGCCCCCTCATACCGCCCTCTGCCACGGCCCAGCCCCCCCAACCAGGCAACGCCATCCTCAAGCCCGACATCATCGGCCCCGGCGTGGACCTCCTAGCCGCCGCTCCTGGGAAGAAAATCGGCGACCCCGGCGCCCTCGCCCGCCTCTCGGGTACTTCCATGGCCACCCCTCATTTGGCGGGGCTGGCCGCGTTAATTATCCAGAAATTCCCCAACTGGAGCCCGGCGCAGGTGATGTCGGCGATGATGACGACGGCGCGGGTGACTGACACGAGCAGCAGCCCCATCAAGAGCTCCACTGGCGGGGATGCCACCCCCTGGGAGATGGGGGCAGGCCATGTGTTCCCCCCTGCCATGCTCAACCCCGGCCTCACCTACGACGCCCGAGACAAAGACTACCAGAATTTCCTGGCCGGGCAGGATCTGACCCGGGCGAAAAAGGAGTTCCCAGGGGTGTCCCTCTCCCCCCTGGCTGTGCGCAATCTCAACCTTCCCACCATTACTCTACCGCGCCTGCAGGGCTCGATTCAGGTGACTCGCACGGTCACCAATGTGGGAGGGGCCCAGTCCACATACAGTGTATCTGGGAAGGCGCCAGCAGGGGTGAAGGTGACAGTGGCGCCTAAGAGCCTCACGGTTGGTGCCGGGCAGAAGGCGAGTTATACTCTGACGTTCACTGTGGATACACCCAGCAAGGACTTCAAGTACGGGTATATAGTGTGGGCGGATGACCAGGGCCACAGCGTGCGGTCCCCCCTCGTGGTGCAGCCACTCTCGCGCTAAAGGGGGAGAGGGTGAGTGCTTGCTGCTCTTGCAGTAAGGGCATGGGTGCTGTGCGGTGCTGTCCTGGCTGCTAGTGGTGCGGCTGATGCTACGGCTGGGAGCGTGTAGTGGGTCATTGGTCGAAATGTGATGGATGGACACGGGGGTTCAGCCAGGCAAGGGCAAGGGTTGGTTCGTGCTGGCAGCCTCACATGTTACAGGGATGACCTCCGTCCCTGGCCACGTGAAGACCCTGCTTTTAGGCTCCAGCCGGTTGAGGCTATTGCCTACATGTTAGGATGCGACCGTACCACCTGTATACATGGTGCCATTATTTATTCCAGTTTTTGTTGGCACCTCTGCCTCTGCATGTCCATTTCTCTAGACCAAGAGTGCCATACAGGAGAAACTGCACAGATACTCTTGCTAACTTCCCCATCACTGCTACAATAACTTTGACAATGTAACCCTATCACTCGATATAGGCGATAGTACACCCGATATTCAGCCTACTCTCAGGCCCGTGCCGCGAAACCAGCGGGCTGCTTGAGAGATATTTCAGCACAGCTGCCCGAAGCACGCCCGTCCCGAGTCCATGGTCAATGAACAGCACGGCACCAGGCGGCCTAGACTGCACTGCCAGGTCCACTTCTGCTAGGGCATCCTCCACACTCCTGCCCTAGCGGGATTTGCAACACCAGGCAGCCTAGACTGCACTGCCGCTAACGTCCACTGTGTTGCATGCTGTCTGCACTGCTGCTTCCCTCACTGCTGGCAGAGACGAAGACGATAAAGTTGAGGAGAGGGAAGATGGGGATGGGAATCGACCCCCTCGCTTTGAGGCGCTGTTGCCATTCGTGTTACTGCTACCATCGATGCCATCATCGTCTTGCTCCCAACGACCATCAAACATCCTGTGCCCCTCTCCTTCCTGCTGCCTCTCCATCAGCCATGGTCTGTGGCCCAGCAGCACTACCAGCATTATCATCAGCTTCCGCAGGAAGCAGGTCTCCTCTCTGCACTCGCAACCTCAGATTTCCTAGCTGTACAGTCACCAGCCGAGCCGCTGGTGCCGAGCCTGAACCCTCTCCCGAGCCTTCTCTGGACCACAGCCCATTGCCACCACTGTACCACACATACTGCTGCCGAACCTCCTCACATACACCCCCTCCCCCACAGCAGGGACCCAATCCGCTCCTCGTGGATCTGCCGAGCCTCCTGCCAGACCACCAACCGGAGCACCCAAACCTGGAGCAGAATCAGGTTCAGGAAAGAGCACGGTCAGTCCTGCCGCTGCTGCCAGGTCAGCACAGGCCCGGTCGGTTGCTACTCGCTACGGCACACAAGCAAGGGAAACCTCCTGGAAGGAGGCAACGACACTAGAGATCTCCTCCCTCGCTGCTAGCACCTCCTCCTCCTGTCTCTCTGGTACCGCCACTACCACTGCAGCTCTCGAAACGCCAAAGACTGCTCTTTCTGCCTGTTTTTCTGGTCCTTCGTGGTATGTTGGGCTGGGAAGTCGTTGCGAAGCCTCTCTGCGTCTCGCGTGGCCTCTGCTGCTTCCCCTGCAGCCTCCGCATTCCGCTGCCATTGCTGCTGCAGGGACGCCAGTATTCCCAGCTCCTCACCCTCTCCCCCCCCCCTTCCCATGGTGGCATACTCCTTCTCACTCTCCCTCCCCTCCCTCCTCCCGCTCCTCCTCCTTACTTGTCTCACGAGCCAGCCTGGCGGCTCTGGCGAGGACGGGGGGGGGGGGGGGGGGGGGGGAAGACTGTGGGAAGCAGCGAGGGAGAGGGCGTGGGAGGTGCCGGGCGACCCCAGAGGATGTTGACGGAGGGCGCAGTGAGACTCGGTCAAAGGCCGCACTCGCATTCTCAAAGCGGGGGTCGGAGGACTGCAAGGGAAGAAGAGAAGGGGTGGGAAGGGGGTGTTGGGAGGGTGGTGAGAGGGAGAGGGGCATGAGGGAGGGGGGTTGGGAGGTGCCAGGGAGACCCCAGAGTATGTTGAATGACGGGGGCAGGGAGACTCGGTCGAACACCACACTCGCATTCTCAAAGCGGGGGTCGGAGGACTGCAACGGAAGAAGAGAAGGCGTGGGAAGGGGGTGCTGGGAGGGTGGTGAGAGGGAGAGGGGCATGAGAGAAGGGGGATGGGAGGTGCCATGAAGACCCCAGAGTATGTTGAATGACGGGGGCAGGGAGACTCGGTCGAACGCCACACTTGCGTTCTCAAAACAGGAATTGGTGGGCTGCAAGGGAAGAAGAGAAGGGGTGGGAAGGGGGTGTTGCTGGGTGGAAGCCAGTGTGAGCCATCATTGGTATGCGCCTGGTGTCACAGTGTGACCCTCCAATGGGTCATTCAGCCGCTGTTTATCATACCTTGAGCTTCTTGAGGTCGGCGTAGTCAGTGGGTAGCGAGTGTGAGCCAAGGTGCAAAAAAACGGCATCCGTATTAAAACGGTCCGTTTTAAACTGCCGTTTTTTACGGTGGGTTTTGGTAAAAAACGACGTTTTTTTGTTAGACTTTTTTTCATGATTTTTTTTTAATGTATAAAAAGCACGCGTAAACAAGTGGCCTGATTGCTAAGGCGGCCTGCATCGTTCTACGGGGTAATTAGCGGCTTTGAAACAGGTATGTGATGTCCATGCCCCTAGTCCGTCGCCTTCTAGGTCTCATTCTGCTCCTACTCCACCATCCCCCCCATCCTCCTCCTCCTAAGCGTCATCCACCTAGTCCTCCCCCCCTTTGTCCTCCTCCCCTTAAGCGTTATTAGCTCGGCCAAAAACAATGTACACCGTATTATACAGTGGTACGAAAAAAACGGTCGTATAAAACGGCCGTTTTTTTGCACCAAACGAAAAATGCAACTTTTGACCGTTTTAATCATATTATACGACCGTTTTATACGATCCCATTTTAAACGGTAAAAAACGCCGTTTTTTTGCACCTTGGTGTGAGCACTTCACATCCCGCCAGGTGTTTCAAAAGGGCAGCTGCGAGTGCAGCACCGTCTCAGGGGCCCACCCCTGCCCACCTCTGTTCATGAAGCCACACACTGCACTCAAAGACTCGCCTTGAGCTTCTTGAGGCACATACCTTGGTTGGGGGTTGTTGATGGGGTCGTAGACCTGTGACGACCCCTCAGACCTTGGTCTCTGCCACTTCCACATGCTCAAAACACTCACTCTGGGCTTCTTGAGGTCGGCATAATTTTGAGGAGCTTCAAAAGTAATCTCAGTTCACGCAGATTTTATATGGGGAATATATCCATTTCTTGAAGCTGCTCAGAGACTCACCTTGAGCTTCTTGAGGTCGGCATAGTGAGTAGTGGTGAGTGTGAGTCCTTCAGCACTCAGCCAGGTGTTTCAAGAGGGCAGCTGCGAGCGCTGCACCCTCTGAGGGATCCGTGCCACTGCCCACCTCGTCCAGGAGCATGAGAGAGGAGGAGGAAGAAGCGGAGAAAGAAGGGGATGAGGGGGAAGGAGCAAGAAGGATGTGTGAGACGCGGTGCATGTGGGCGCTGAAGGTGGACAAGCTCTGCTCCAACGACCTGCTCGTCACCCGATGTCATCCACCACCCCGGTCAAACCATGGTAGCACCGCCACACACCCATTCACACCGCTCTCCTCCGCATGGATCCACTACCCCCCTCAACCCTGTCTCCCCTCCACTTCTGGGTTCTGCCTGTTCTTCCTCTCCTCCCTCCTCCCCTCCCCCCCCTCTGCTCCTATATTCCCGTGCATCCCCTCCATTCCTCCCCTCCCCACCCTGCTCCCCTCCCCTGCCTCGCCCCCCCCCTTGTCGTCAGTGGCATGAAAAGCCTAGCTTTAGCCATGTGTGTGGCAATCCCAAGGGGTCTTCGGCGGGCCGGGCGGTTCTCTTGCCGCCCCGCATTGGGGGGGCCTGAGGATGATCACCCACTGCGATTAGCTAGGCGGGACAAAGGCCACTGTCTATGTGGCACAGGCAGGGGCTGGCATTCCTGCTACATCCTTGCGTGCTTGCTCCTACAAGCTCCTGTGCCCTCCAGCCGTTCCTGCCTCCTCTTGCCTTATCCTGGGAGCTCCTGCAGCTCCTGTTGCTCCTGCGGCTCTTGTGCCTCCTTCTGCCTCCTGGTGCTCCTGCTGCTCATGCTGTTGCCTTAACGCCTAATGCACCTACGATGTTGACGAGAAAGCCCCGCCCTCGCTTGAGTGGGCACCTCGTCGTGCGCAACACCCTGCACACCTAGTTCTGGTTGGCGTGACGAACCGGGGAGCGTTGCATTGCAACGCAGTTCAAGCCGCAGGTGTGATCGGCAAACTTGCAGTACAGTGGCAAAGTCCAAGTTGGCGAAGTTCAAGTCGGCGAAGTTCAGGTTGGCGAAAATCTGAAGTAGCGAATTTCTGCGCGGCGAACTGCAAAGGCGTCGAAACTGCAAAGCGGCAAAACCGCAACACCACATCCAGCGTGGGTGTTGCGGAACAATTGCGCAACTGAGCACATTCGTTGCGAAACAAAAGTGTGCGAATTTCTCCACTACGGAATTCGCATGCGATTGAGACATTGGAGCCACCTGACCGCATTTGAGTAGCAGTGCAAATGTGTACGCAACGAACCGGTTAGACCCTGAGCACCTACCATTGTCACATGCGTAGTTAGGAAACCTGGACATGTGCGCATGGACAGCTTTTCCTCATGCCATCATTGAATTCGCAAAGCGTAGCTTTGCCACGGTTTGGGGACAGCGCAACATTATGGCTGTTGGGCTGAGAAAGCCCCGAGGATCTTTTCAGAAAACGAAGTCCTTGTAACAGAGTGCTTGATAGCACAGTTGTATTAGTATGTAAGAACAAGTGATTGATTATAGCAAAGAGATACAAGGGTTTATTTAATAATAGAAGAGAATACAAAGAGTCTAATTGATTATGCACTTCGAGGGGTACATTTCCTTTATGAATCGATAAGAGCGACTCGGGTAACCACCCGTACTGTAATACCGGACGGTTATTTGTCCTTGCTGTCATGCTCACTTGAATCTTGTACTTTTGATTGTTGAGTTGCGAGGTCAAACGGTCTGCGATCGTTGCCCTTTTCGTAACCTTCTGCGAGGTGTCGTTAGACTACGTCAACCGTCAAGGATACTGTAGCGATCTTGACTCGGTAATCTTCGATGTGTGTCCTTCGCGTAATTGTTATAGTTAACGCGATACTCCCGAAATGTGCTGAAGTCCTTCTATCCTTCCAAGAATGGCACCGGCGCAGCGGTGTGGAACAGCACACAGCGTTGCGACGCAGCGCATTGCGACTAGTTGTTCTGGGGATCTTAGGTGTCACAGGAC